CCCCCCCCCCCCCCCCAAACCCCAAAAAAAAGGGAAAGAAGATTGACAGTAAGTGTACCTTTCATTTTGTGAGCTTTACAAATGTAACACTGTAGTCAATTTAAAACTTCAAAGTCAAGCCATATATTACCTCGTTGCCATAAGAAGGTGCAAAACCAGCACAACTATCAAATAGTAAAAAATACGTGCATGTAAATGGGTCTGGACGCATAACAGGTCACACATAGCAGGTATAGCAGGTAAGTTCAACAGTTACCCGATTTCCTAATTCAATAGGACAAGCAAGAACTATGTTTATCGGATGCTATGAAAGTTACCATCAAACTCTCATTTCAAATCATGGGTCTGTGTAAAATGGAAAGTAAACTGTTTTACACATGCATATTAAAATTCTCACCTTGTCAGTTCCACTGACATGAATCTTCTCACCATTAGCAAAGGCTCCTTTGCCTAGAAGAAGAAAATTGCATATGTCAGTAGTAGATCGTTGGATTTCGCAATTGAACAAATGATTTATTATAGATAAACTTCTTTACCAGCAGCTGCAGAAAATATGCGAGTATTCCAACACATAGGGCCACCAACAAACTCAACCTATAAAGAAGCAGACATTAACAGTATTATGTTCCGGGCGAGGACTTCAGATGTCATATCAGAACAAGAGATTTGGTGTCATTGATGGTCTTTCCACTTTATGGTTCCCAATTTCGTTCTCACAGTGTTTCTCCGGGATTCTGGATACTGCATAATAGCTACTATAAGATAACAGCCACATGACCTTGGTTGGTCAGCTAATTCAACTCTTCAGTAGATTTAAAAATGTAGAGTTGCCTTGGATTAAATTATTTGATATTAAGTGCAACTAACACAAATCCTACACGATTATGGGTAGCTTCAGAAAGAAAATCTTACAGCAACATTAAAGCACGTCGAATTTCAACTATTTTAGAATTTGTACAGTTCACTGTAAATTCCTTCCCCTTTTTATCTCTCAGTTCAGGTCCCTTACAGCTATGAATATAAAAATACTAAATTTCTTTTTTACATAACTAGCCCAAGATAGTAAAAGAATATAACATATTCAATCTCTTAGCACAACATGATTTAAGTTGCTAGTGATCATTCAAGCTTTTGGTTCTCTTCTTGCACATTAGGTCAGAATCAGCTATCATAAGATTTTCATAGACCAAGCTCACTGGATAAGAGACAGTGCTCTTCCACTGAACAATGGTAAATAATCAAAAAAGCACATCAGAAACCATCCCAGCATATACCACGGTAGCTGCAGCTGGCTTCCCTCTAAAAAGAACACCCACAGAGACCGCAAAGCTAGGATAGCCATGCGCAAAGTTTGTTGTTCCATCTGCAAGATAAAGTTTCCAATTAATATTTGTTCCTTATTGGTTGAGTTGTCTTTAAGATAATATGTGGTGCCATTGTTTCCAGTGGAGCGAATTTTGGTTGAACTCACACATGCAATATATCTATTTGT